TTTAGGTTTTAAATATACATTTGAATAACCAAAAAATCATAAATTACTATATTGATACCACAGAATTCAATTATAGCTTATCAATTTTAGTAACAAAACTGTGTTTGGGTCTAAACATATGAAATTTTGAGCAGATTGAAGACTCGACTTACCTCTATGCCGTCTTATATTGAAAGAAAGATATAACGACTTTATATTTGAAAATGTCTGAGAAAGCCACTAGGGGACATTCTGAGCTTTTGATTGGTTATTCATGTCATATATATAAAAGTAAGTGTATATAAGGGAGCATTTCCAAAAATGGAAAGAGGTGGGTGGGGTGCCACGGTGTTTGATTTATTACGAGTAATATCTTAGCAAATAGAAAAGATAAAATGTTCTTATTTTATATTCTAGCTTGTCAATATCAGTAATTTTAGTTCCTAATTCGCACAAAACTATAGACTCAGTGTTTTGACATCACAAATATCTAATTTGACCAGTGCTGCATTCAACATACCACATGTCACACAAAAATCGATATTTATCTGTGTTTTTTAATATTTACTTTTAAAATTAAATAATGTATAATACTAAGATTTGAATTATAATCTACAGTTTGATACTAAACTTATTTACATAAATTTATGAAATAGTAGTTCAATAAAATTTTGAATGCAAGTCAACAAACGCGATGACATGACCTTCCACCCGTGACCCATATGTAAAGGGTTAACATATATAGTCATAAGGCCAGCCAGGGGCAAAGTGAATGGATGTGTAAAATGTCACCACAGATTGTGAAAACTTCCAAAGTATGAAGTCATTACTAATTCATGTTTATTTTTAGGTGTTCAAACCATAGAAATACCCAAGGTGTACACTAGCATGCCATACCTTGTGAGCCATAAGCCCATCTTTGTCATCTTCCGCTAACCTTCGGATCAGCTCTAAAAGTTTTTCTCTTTGTTTTTTAGTGGCATTGGTCCAGCTTGCCTGAAAGAGTGTAGGTGATAATGTTTTCTAAAACAATTTTAACAAAAAATACATGCCTTTTTTTCATGAGATCATTCTACTGATATGAATAACAACTTGATCTATAAACCTTAAGTGTTCAGAAAATTTAATAATGTGAATTGTAACACTGTTGTAAGAAATCAGTAATGTTCAATTTGCCATGTCATGGCCTTATTTTTATTTTGCATTTGCCCACATTCTAGAACCTTACTTAGGAAGAAAAAAAACGATACCCTGCATAATTACAAGCAGAATGATGTTTACAATGTGTTTTTAGGCTGAGATGAAAGCAAACTATAAATTTTCAACTGTTAGAAATTTAAAGCCTAAATAGCTTTTAGATTGACTTTAGCATATGTTAATTACATTAATTTTCTTGATTCATGGGTGTAATTGGATTGTTTTTATAATAGTTACTTGATACTGTAAATTATATTTAAGCAACTGTTTTATAAACAGAAACAGTAATTAGTTTAACAGTTAAATAGGCTCTCACTCTGAACCAAATGTCATAAACAGTATGGAACTTCACAAAATTTAACTTAGAAAAGTAGTTTATATGGTTGAAAATGATCAACTATATACATTTAAGTATTAATATTTTACACAAGCATTGCACATATACTGTATGTATTAACCTGTATCCATAAATTTCTAAATATTTTATAAACATACATACAAGGTAAAGAATAATGTGAAATTCTTACTCTGAAACATTCAAATAAATGGTCTAGTTGTTCCAAAGTAAAATCCCAAGCAAGTTTAGCTAGAAGATCATGAACATTCTTCACAATAGCTTCATGTTTTCCTGCTTGAGCAGCCCAGATATCATCCAGATCTTCCAAGGTCAATGCCTTTTCTTTTATGATAAATCTTATGATTTTTTCTAGCTTCTCCACGTACTAAAAACAGATAAGTACATTGAATACCAAACCTTTTAAAAGAAGATACTATAAATCAGGGCTGTTCAACTGGTGGCCTGCGGGCTGCATCCAGCCTGTGGTAAGGCTTCATCCAACCCAAGATCATTGAAAGGATCACTTAAAGTTTGTAAAATAAAAAAACATCACTTGTTTCACATTTTAAGGAAAGCAAAGTGTTGTTTATATATTATTTGCATTATATGGTGGACAAATATTATATGTTCTAGAATTCAATTATAATTATAAAAAATAGAATTCTTGATTATTTTATTACAAGTAACAGCTTTTATAGTACGGAAGAACATTTTTAAAACAGGTATGATGTTTTGATCACTGGTGTGATCATTCACAAGTACACAAATTTTAACATACACCCATGTACTTGAGAATGATCTCATCAATGTTCGAAACTTCATATCTGTTTCAAAAAGATTCTCACTTACTGTAAAAGCTGTAACTTGTAATAAAATACTTCTTCTAGTCAGTAAGTAAACTCAAAACAAAACTAAGAATTCTAGATTGTTAATTAGCATTCTGGCCCACAAGTGGATTTGCCAAGTTGACCCCCCCCCCTCCCCAATGGTTTGAAGTTGGACAGCCCTGTTATAAACATACACTTATATATTAACAAGATAAGTATTTTTAAGACTCAATAAGTAAACCTGCATTGTTCACAATAACCTGCACAGGCCTGAAAACCTGTAGACATTGAAGTTTGAACATTGCATACATATTAATTAAAACAACCACATTTTCTCACAAAATCGATTAAACTTCTTATGTCAATAATCTGTTTTCATCATTCCACACAAAGTTTTATTTCAGAGTTAAACATATTGGACATACTCTAATATTTTGTAAAGCATTCAAACACAGTAAAAGTGGAATACAATATATAAAACAAATATGTATGAGATAAGTATTAATCTTTTGTGTATGACAGGGTTCAAAAGTACACATCATGACCTTTTTTCCAGTTACATTCAAAATTTAACTAAATAATTTTATTATAAATGTATGTCAATAAACTTGACATAAAATAGTTTATAATTCAAAGTTTTATTTTATCTAAGTTTTACTTTCTTAATTTCAAAAGGAAGTATTTAAATAAATTATTAATCTTGACTTCTATGTGTGTCATGTGATGCATCTCCACTCTGATTCTTTTATTTTTGGTTTTCTCCATTCCGTTCTAAGAGAAACTCAAACTGTACCTACTGACAGGTCATAATATAACTACCATAGAGGTCCCTCCCACCTTGTCATAGCTTTGAACAAGTTTAACTATATCATGTATCCTTCTTTTAAAAACATGTTTATAACCAACAAAAAGAGAATTGTGTCCCCAACAAGAACCTACTATTAAAATATTATTCCTTTTTAGGCACACATTTGTAGACAGTTTGCCTAGGATTGTTGAGCCTCCATCAGCTAACAAATATTTTTAACCTATCCTTAGCTTAGTCAGAAAGTTGTTAAATGATAGCAGTTTTAGGCAATTCAATATTTCATATTCTAAATTTGATATTTGAAATAAACATTTAAAATATTTAAAATTACCAACATTATATAAAGTAGGCTTACATTGCTTCTTCCACCAGTAGCAAAAAGCAAGAGTCCAGATAAGTACTAAATTTCTTGCTTTGATGTAAATTTTTATTCATTGTTATAAAAGTAACTAAAATGTATGAAGTAGAAACTCATTAGGTTAGATGAGAAAACTGAAATGAAACAAAAATAAAATTAATTTGTCATGACAATCAATATTCTAGCATGCTATGTGCATGAGGCATGTTTGTAATTCATTCGTTTTGTGCTTGTGATTCAATCATTTGTATAAACCTATCTGGCTGTGATAAATAGTTTATGGTGTACTCTGAGAGAGTCTGGGTGCAGCTGTACAGCAATAAAACTAAATGAACACAGAACTAAGTAATCTATTAGCTTTAGCTGTAAGAATAAATAGCATGTCTAACTATCTATTACAATATGCAGTCAATCGTTATCGAGGGATTTAAACTTTGTTCTGTCAATTAAAATCTCTTAAATTTTGGAGACATAATCAGATCTGTTTAAAATGATGACAACTGTACCTATATCTGGCCATATAAGAACAACATTTCGATTACTGGCAAGTTATCTTATGGCAGAAAACTCAATCTGTGTAATAGAAGAAGGTTTCGATCCCTTAAAAAACCTTTGATACAGAGATGAGAAGACTGAGAATCTATTTAAATATTTCCTTTTAATTTAAAAAACTAAAACTTGTATAATATTAAAATTTGAATTATAAACTATGTTTTTATGTTAAGTTAATTGATATGCATTAATAATAAAGTTGTTTTATCAAATTTTGAATGTAACTCTGTAAAAGGTCATGACTTGTATTTTGACTCCTACCCATGCTCATAATTAACTTTTTTCATGGATTTACATACATTTTTGATATTCCTAATTTACTGAATGAACATTTCAAATTATATTTATTTAACTATATGAATCTGTAGCCATGTGGATAATACATATTTTGTAAAAAACAACAACAACCAAATTGTTTTACCACAAAATTAATAACAATTTTTACATTTCAGAAGTCTTAATGAATTTTGATTTTATCTAATCATCTGCTGTATTTTTGGAGTTCATAAACTGGAATTGTGGAGTAATTATTCATTTTCCATCCAGTTTAGTAAAATATAATATACCTGATTTGTATCTAAACTTTTCAGTAAATTCCTATCCTTACTATAATCCATGTCAAAATGCCAAAGAGAGAAAGTTTTATTCAAATGGTTCCATCAGAAAAATCATGTCTGACAACTTTTATTACGATAATCAAAATAAGAGATATCAAGAAGCAGATTGTTACGCAATAATGAAAGTGATACAAGTATATGATTGTGTTTATTTGAATAATAAGTGCCCTAATGAGTGGTATTAATGTGTTTCAGGTACCCTGATAGAGAACTAAAACCCTGCCCTGACAACTGGTCTGGGAACATCACTGAGCAAATGTAAATGAATTCAAAAAGCTTTCTCATGTTTTTAATGAAAAGTTTAATAAATTTTTTTATTAAGTCTTAAGGTTTGTAAAGCAATGTTTTTCTCATGCCTTTTTTTCACATTATCAATTCAGTTAAACTGTAGAAAAAATTCACCAAGATATAATTTAAATGTTTATTAAGAAATTGTTTGCATAATACAAGTCTCTTATCATTTAAAAAAAATCTTGTCAGTAAATCCTTGAACTTATCATAAGAACTATTTCTGAAGATATGTTGGTTTTGTTTAAAGCTAAACAAATGTTAACTTGCCTAACAAAAAAAGGTCAAACATTATTGAGACCCAGTTATGCATGATTTACACTGAAAAACTGGTTTCATTTTAAAGCTTATTAAGTCTTTCATCATGGGCTCGGTCCCTGGGAAGGACCTCATAACCATTTTGTGCTTGCTATAGTTTCCATGCTATAACTTTTAAATTAGTATGCATATGTTAACAAAATTTGGTAGATTATCAGTAAACAATACAATGCTTTCATACAAAAAATACCAATTTTTTTATTAAGTCTTAAGGTTTGTAAAGCAATGTTTTTCTCGTGCCTTTTTTTTCTTTTCGCATGTTGCCTATCTATCATTCAAAGTAATAGCTATTTTAAGATTAAAAATACTTTTATGCATCAGAAAATTTTGAAATTTCACATGTGAAATCTTTATAATATCCAGATAGTTATCAAACATTTCTTAAGAAAAAAACTTTATATTTTATCTGTTATTTTCAGTAATTAATCTGTGTACAGGTTCGGTAGATTTGACCATTATTGCAACCACTATAAAAAATTAGGAAATAAATATAAATTGTGCCTCTTTCATTCTAGAATGAACACAAATTATAACTAAATAGCTTAAATCTCATAACATTATACATTTATATATATCTATTATTTTTGTTATACTGACCTTTCAGTTGTGCCTGGCTAACAATACAGCAGTTACAATGATGCAGCGCACGTGCACTCATGTTACCGTATCAAATAACATAAAACTGACCTTTACAAAGTAACTTGTCTTGTCTGTGTTTTAGTAGACTAGTATTTTGTAAAATACGGTCACATTTTAATTATTATACATTATACATGTATATAGATTATTGCTATTCGGAAATAAGTTCTTTACTTATTTTACTTAAAACATAGAACAGTAAATAAAGAAGTAAAGCAAAC